TCCTTTTGACATTAATTTCCAATTTCATTGCACTATGGTCAGATAATATGCTTGGGATAATTTTAATTCCTTTGCATTTATTTAAGGATGTTCTATGGGCTGGTGTGTAATCTATTTTAGAGAACATCCCATGTGCAGCTGAGAAGAACATGTATTTTGATGTTGTTGGGTGGAACACTCTGTAAACATCTACTAAGTCCATTTGTTCACAAGTTTTGTTCTGTTCTGTTATTTCTTTGCTGATTTTTTTGTCCAGTTTACCTATCTCTTTGAGTCAATGGGGTGTTAATTTCCCCCATTACAATAGTATTATTAGTTATTTGGTTTTTCATGTCTATTACAGTTTGTCTTATATAGTTGGGTGCTCCCATATTTGGTACCTAAATATTTATGATTGTTATCTCTTCCTCTTGAAGTTTTCCCTGACAAGTATGTAGTAACTTTCTTTATGTCTTTGCATCATTCTTGGTTTGAAAGTTCACATTGTCTAGTATCAAAATAGCTACCCCTGCTTTTTTCTCGGTTCCTGTCACATGGAGAACTGTATTCCAAACTTTGACTTTCAGTCCATGAATTTCCTTTTGAGTTAAATGTGTTTCTTGTATACAGCATATTGCTGAATTTTGTTTCTTGATCCACTCTGCCAATCTGCTTCTTTTGATGGTGAATTGAGGCCATTGACATTAATAGTAAGAACTATTATGTGTTGGCTTAACTTTGTCATGTAATTTACCAACTGTTGATTTCCAACTTTTACTCTCTGTTTGATTGCTTACTCTGCTAGGTGGTTCCTTTCTATTGTTGCTCTTGAAATTGAGATAACTTTTATCTCTTTCTAGAATATCTTTTAGTAGTCTTTTTAGGGTCAGTTTGGTGCTTATGAACTCCTGCAGTTGTTCTTTGTCATGGACATATTTTATTTCTCCAGTAAATTTGAAAGATAGTTTTGTAGGCTACATCAGTCTGGGTTGGAAGTTGTTTTGTTTTAGAACCTGGAATACTTCACTTCAAGCTCTTATTAATTTGATGGTTTTTGGTGAGAAATCTGCCGTGATTCTGAAGGGTTTTCCTTTATAGGTGATCTGTTTCTTTTCTCTAACTCCTTTTAATATTCTGTGCGTTTGCTGAATTTCTGGGATCTTGATTATTATATGTCTGGGTGCAGTTTTATTTTGATTATGGCTAGTTGGAGTTCTATATACTTCACTTACTGCATGTCAGATTCTTTTTCCATACTTGGGAAATTTTCTGCTATTCTGCAAATAATCTTTTTACGTCATTTGTGTTGACTCCTGCTGTATCACTGATACCCATTAGTCTTAAATTGTTTCTCTTTGCATCATCTTGCAGCTGTTGAACTGATATTTCTTGGTTTCTTGTTATTTTTAAGAGATCTTTTCTTTCATGGTATTTAGCTGCAATGCTGTCTTCAAGATCTGACAGTCTACCTTCAGCTTCATTTAAGCAGTTTTGCCAGCTTTCTATGTAAGTTTTAATTTCCTGGATACCTCTTTCATGCATTCTAGCTTTTTCATAATTGTTCATTTAATGTTTCCATCATTTTTCTACGCTCATCATTTTATATCTATCTATCTATACCTATCTGTCTATCTATATCTTCTTTAGATGTGCTGAGAAATACTTTCATTATTGTTGTCATTTCATTTTTTATGAGAGATTATTTCTGATCTGATTTCTTCTGTAGCCTGATGGAGTTTGTTTTGTTTTGTTTTGTTTTTACTTCAGTGTTAGAGGCCACTACAAAGTGGCTCTGAGGTGGCTTTAATATTAACCAGTTGGTTTTCCATGTTTACTTGTGAGTTGTCTGAAGCTTAGGCACATTGTCTGAAGATAGACAGTTGAATCATAGTAAGCAAACCTCTGTGAGTCACTGGTCACCCTGAGGCCTGTATTGGCCTGAAGCTGTGACTCCTTACAGGACAAAATAAGGTCTGAGCTGAGGACATTTGGCTCCAACCCCAATGAACTACAAGGAGACTGCAGCTGCAGGCTCCACACTCCTACAACAAATACCAACCTAAAGATAAGGTAGTTCTCCTGACTGACATAATTTTCTACTTGGGAAAATTCTCCCAATGTGTTTTCTTGAGTATCTTCTTCCTTTGTTTGAAAACCAAATAAATATGGACTTCCCAGAGAAGTCTTTGTCTAAACTTAGAGAATATCAAAGCTGTTAGAGAATAAGACCCTTCTGGAGCCCTGAAATCATTTCAATTGTCTCATTTATTTAAGCCTTTGCTGTCTATTTGCTTGGGAGATTGTGGGCCTAATCAGCCTGCAATAACTTGGGGTTATTTAACCCGATACTTCAGTTGCAATCATTTCAGAGATTTCAGGTGTGTGACTTCCAAGTTCTCCTATGTTAATGTCTCCTTTACTTCTTCTGGATGGGGTGGAAGTCTGAGATTCCATTTTGCTCCTTTGCCCTGTCATTTTGGATGCTGGAAGTGAAGCGCTGATCCTCCCCATTCCCGGATAGTTCACCAAAGGACTCTAGGGTCCCTAGATTTCCTGAGTGCCAGGTTTGCCCCACAATGGCTGCAGGAGGAGGGAAACTGGATCCAGGATCCCCAGGCAGTTGATGGAGGGCATGGCTCAGATGAGAACTATGATGGTGGTGGGATGTTGAACAACATAAGAAGGTCAATGATCTTACAAAAGGGAGCTTGAGGTACAATCATCAAATTAAACAATCCCCATAGTTCACTTATGTGATCCTAGCTACACAGGAGGCTGAGGCAGGAAGCTCAAGTTCCAGGTCAGCCTGAGCAAGAAGTAGAGAGAAGAAATTCCAGCACACCTGTGATCCCAGCCCTCAAGAAGCTGAGGCAAGAGGATCATCTTGAGTTTGAGGACAACCTGGGCTACAGAGTAAGTAAAAGCCTGAATGACACAGCAAGACCTTGGCTTAAAAAAGAAAAATTCTGGAAGGAGTGTGCTGTTAGGAGCCACTGGAGCTGGTTATTGGTCAGACAGTCAAGCTACCTCAGTATTGAAAAAGGAATCCTGATGGACAATTACAGTTGTTATTTGCGAGGCAACATTACCCCCCCCCGTGATACTAACTTTGCAAGTGTATAAAATAAACACCCCTACAGTTAAAGTCAGTCCTCTTGCTCTTCGGGAAAGAGGTAACTCCACCTGACCCCAGCTCTTGTCTCTTGTCTTTATTTTTCTCATATCCACCGCTGTTTCTCTCTGGAGTACAATGAGAGACCAATGAGGTTTACTACATATGGCACCTGAACTGGATACCCAGTGAGAGAAAATAAGTGGGCAGTAGGTACACTTCCCAAGAGCATGCAACAGAGGTGGGGAAGTGCATTTGTGAAAGTTAGTATTCAGCACTGGAGTGAATGGTCTGGCACATCAGGTGTAAAGTGTGGGGATATATGTTCTCTAGGGCTAGAAGATACACAGGCTTCAAAGAAGCCAAAAGAGAAAGGGATATTAAAGTGTAAGCAGAGGCTCAAGACTTGGAGGGGTATATGTCTGTAGAAGTGTTTGTTGCATGTTTGACTCCTATATTTAATTTTCTGGATGTTGGTTTGGAGGGGTTTTGTGACCATAAAGGATTTGGCTCAGAACGTTATGTTAAAATCAAGTCTGGAGCCTAAGTGGGACATGGAGGGCAGAGAAAGGGCTCCACCAATAGAACCTGAGCCCTCTAGCCTGGTCCAATTTAAGAAGGAAGGAATGGTGGGGGACAAAAGGGACTTTTCCCCACAAGAGAGGTGTTTGCTCACAAACTCTGTCTCACAATGCTCCATGGAATTGACTGAGCCACAGGTGGTTATCCTGGCTTTTTCGGCTCAGAGGAATTTTGCTGCATCACAGATTGTAACTTCTGCCTTTCAGAGAGTAGAGCTGTTTTCTCTGTCTCTCTTGCAATTAGCATTAAAAGAAGCCAGACAGGTAGGGGAGCCCATGCAGGGTTTTCAACATGTCTACCTGTTACTGAAGTTCAAGTCCCCAAAAATCCAGGACAAGTTATATGTTGTTATAAAACTATACCTTTTAAAACTTTTTTTTTTTTTTTTTTTTTTTTTTTTTTTTTTTTTTTGGTTTTTCTCTGGTACCAGGAACTGAACTCACGACCTTGCGCTTGCCAGGCAGGCGCTTTTGCCGCTGAGCTAAATCCCCAGCCCCCCCTTTTAAAACTTTAAAAGAATTAAAACAAGCAGTTGCTACTTATGGTCCTACTGCTCCCTTTACTTTGAGTTTATTAGAAATTCTGGGACAACAGATTATGGCCCCAAATGATTGGAAAGGAGTAGCTAAAGCATGTTTAAGTCCAGGAGACTATTTAATGTGGAAAGGAAACTTCCTTGAGTATTGCACTGACCAGGCCACTTGGAACGCTATTCACAACATAGCCATTACAAAATTTATGCTAATTGGGGAAGGTGCCTTTGCTACCACAAGCAACTGACCTTTGAACTGCCAGCATAAGAACAAACCAAGATGGCTGCCGTGAGGGCTTGGAGGGAGCTTCCCTCTAAGGGAGAGGCAGCCCTCAATTTGGCTTCTATTCATCAGGGTCCTGAGGAAATTTTTCAGAATTCTGTGGTGTGCCTATTACAGGCTAGTTAGAGGATTATAAATAACACAGAAGCCAGCAAACCAGTAGTTCAGCAGCTAGCCTTTGAAAATGCAAATAAATGGTGTAAAGAGGCTTTAAGAGCCCACAAAAGGCGGGCCACACTGCTGGATATGATTCAGATCTGTGCAGATATTGGCCCCTCATATGTACAGGAAGCTACTTTGGCAGCAGCTGTTACTCAGGTTATTCATCCACAGCCTGGAGGAAAGGGTAGAAACAAGGCCATTTGTTTTCGTTGTGGAAATAAGGGGCACCTTGTCCGGAACTGCTCTGCTACACCTATAAGGGCAGCACAGCCATTATCTGTAGCTAAACCTTGCAGTCCTTGTACTAAGTGTCAGCGAGGGTATCACCGGAATAATCCGTATTGATCCAGAACTACTGGGAAAAGTCGGCCCTTTCTGGGAAACCCCTATTGGAGATTGCCTCAGCCCCATCAAATAATGGGGGCCGCCCAGATGGCTGCAAAGGGGGACGAGGTGCTGGGCGCATTCAGGTAAGTGGTCTGCACTCCCTCTTATCTCTTCCCCTAGGCGCAGGACCCAAGGGCTCCAATGTTTGGCATCTCCGTGGTGGGGAACACCCTCCTGCCTCGTTCTCTTCCACCAGGCTCCTCTGGGCCGGGCCCCTGTAGGCCCAGCTGCCGTGATGTGGGGGTTCAAGTGAACCAGCGATGTGACGCTGGGCACAGTGCACGCTCGGGCAGCTGACGCCGCTGCGCAGGGCCCAGGACCCAGGAGTCCCGGCCGCCCCACACCCTTCCCCGTGTGTTCCCACTGCCTCATTGGCTGCCTGGAGGAGGCCCCAGCGAGCACGCAGGGCCCTGTGGCACCAGAGGAGAATGAGGGGGCAGCAAGGAAGGCGTCCCCACCGCCAAAGCCTGCAGGAGCGACAGGAGGCTCGAACTGGTGAGGCAGCCCCACAGCCTACGCTGCAGAAGCCGGGGCGGCCCCTGGCGGCGGGGAGGGCTAGGGATTGTAGAGACACAACCCGCACCGTGCAGGAGAAATCGCTGCCCCATGCCGAGCCAAGCAAGAAGCACTTGCGCTTCCAGCATAAATATGGTTGTTATCACTGTAAGGACCGCAACATCCGCTGGGAGAATGCCCTCGTTTGGTGTATCCAGGGTACAAACAAGGTTTATTTTAAGCAGTTTTGCAGAATGTGTCAAAAATCTTACAACCCTTACCAAATGAAGGATATCACCTACCGAAGTTGTAAAAGAACTAAATGTTTCTGCCCAATAAGACTTCCCCGTGTGGACCCCAAACACTCCCATCGCAAGACCTATGTGAGAGGTGCAGGAGCAGGCGCCTGTCCTGGGATGGCACCAGTGCTTGGAATCTGGGCAAAAATAAGAGTATCCGGTGGCCAGAGCAAAAGCGACGGCCAGCACGCGCAGAAGCTGGGCACATCCCCCGTGGCTACAGAGGCGATAACCACAGAGCCGCGTGTGGAGGATGCGCAGGCAGTGGAGCCCTTCCTGATAATAAAGCAGCACTGTTGGGGCCCTGCCTGCAACTTGCTGGACCCCAAGGCGATAAAATGGAAGCTACAGCCAGTTACCGCCCGAGCCTGAAGTGGCAGCGCTGC